CTCCCAGAATTCCCCAGACAGCCATGCTGGCTGGGGAATTCTGGGAGTTGAAGTCCACACATCTTCAAGTTGCCAAGGTTGAGAAATACTGCCATAGACTGATCAAGTAGGTTGGGCCCATTATAACGTGATTAAGCCAGAAAAATGTAAGCAGCATTAAAAGTAGCCATGCTGACTAACAGGTGAATACAAATGCTCTACTTTTTATATAACTCAGCTAAACATGTTGTGTGAACGCAGCTTTATTATCTGGATGGCTGCCCTAAGACAACAGCCTTTAAGATTGGATAAAGAGCTTACAAGTGTGTGCATGCACATGGGTGTGGGTGGGTGTGCATTTTTCAGGGTTCACATCCCACCCTAATGAACTTGGATGGATTTTAATGAGCACAATCAACTATTTGGTATAAAACTGCAACCATAAGTAAAATCACCCAAGAACAACTAAAGGCTGAAAACATGCTCAGACAGAAGAGCTTTAACTTCTTTGCAAAAGATGGCCGTCCAAAGATCCTGTGGGAGAGCATTGCAAATGGTGGGAGTTACCATGGAGAAGGCCTGTTCCCTGGGCTTGTGTGTGTCAATGGCAGGTAGATCAGTCCATAAAACATTGAGCGATCTTACCTCTTGAGAAAGACGGGGAGCGAGTGCTATTTTGCTGGAACTGCATCTGGATGAGAGTGAGTTTGCTCCCTGAAAAATACGTTGTGACTTAATCGCTGTAGAAATCTGATGGCAACCAGGGATCTGTTGAACCCCTGAAGCTCCACCTGGAGGAGACACACGTGTAACAGTACAACAGAGTCAGAGAAGATCACTGGAAAAGAGCAATTGGTTTTAGAAAATATACTGAGCACTCTGGGATTTGTCTTTTGAAAAGTCATGATCTCACTTTCTCCCTGGAATAACAGAAACGAGGGCATGCTATTTAGAGGAAAGCTTGTCCCTGGCTGACATAAACAGCCAAAAGAATAAGCCAGATGAGGGGGTGGAGGGTATCCAGGACCAGGGCTGTGTAAACAGTCTTGCAAAGGGAGTAGGCCCAAGCTCACAGAATCTTCAGAAGCAACAAGGCCTGGATCAAAACAAAGACATGATGGAATGCTTCCTTCTGAAATATTCCAAAAATCCACAAAGTAAAGAGATGGAGGAGCTGAAGTTCACTTGTCTTTTCACAATTGTATTTATGAAGCTCATGAGCCATCTGCTGGCCAACCGGCATAATAGTTTTTTATTTATTTATTTATTTATTTATTTATTTATTTATTTATTTATAATAGTATTTATATCATGAAGAACACAGACACTAGTGTTGCCCAAAATGTTACACCATCTACTCAACCTTTACAGTGGGCTATAAACCTATACAATAGACTAAAGCCTTGGAGAAAC